TAGAGCGGAGACTGAGAGCCAGGCCTTCTCGTCCAACATCAGTGTGCGACCTCACAAATGCGCTTCTGGAAGAATGGTCAAAAATTCCCATAAACACACTCCTAAACCTTGTGGACAGCCTTCCCAGAAGAGTTGAAGCTGTTCTAGCTGCAAAGGGTGGACCGACGTCATATTGAACCCTATGGATTAGGAACGGGATGTCACTTAAGCTCATATGTGAGTCAAGGCAGGTGAGCAAATACTTTTGACAATATAGTGTATATCTGCCTCCTCTGAGGCCTTTCTTTTCTTCTCATACACTCCGTAGACATTTTGTCTCTTACGACCATCTGCCATTTTTTAAAGAATCGTGGTGAGAAGGGTGAGCTTCAATGATTGGCTGAAACCGGAGCACACCATATATATACGCCTGAAAGTGCACATGCGCAGAAAAAGATGGCTAACACAATGAGCACGTAGGACGGCCTTACGTAAACATATCACCAGAATGATTGACAATTAGGAGGACCACTATTTAGAAAGAGATAAAAGATCGTCCTCTATACCTTTAAATTTAACATCTGCTTTAAAGAGGTAAAATTATTCTAGCTGCTGAGCTCAACAGGTCATAGCCTGACTGAAAGCAGAAAAGTAAACCCATCGGTCCAAAGCAGCTAAAATGTAGAAAGACCTATAAAATTAAGCTAGGAAAAGATGACACTTTATTAAAGACACAGATTTGTTAGAACTTGAATAGAACCTGAATATAGTCCTCAACTTGAGAAAAAGAAAAAGAAAAAAGTGGGAGGGATGAAAACGAAGAGACTTCATCCAGCGTCAGTATATAACCTGACAAATAAACACCTCAAGAAAAAGCTTACTGTACATAAGGGATCAAATGGAGTGTAATGTCACTCCAGTTCTTATGTCTGTGAGGGGAGCGTTCACTTTGGGTAATATTGCGCTACCTAATGACAGTTTAAAAATATAAAAAAACATGCTCTCTGTACTACTTCAAACAGCGATGGGCAAAGACACGAAAGGGTTTGTCTGCAGTCAAGCAATGCTGCCTGCAGCATAATTCATCATAATTTGGTTTGATAATGGGTCTGTTTTTGTTCCTGTCCATGAAGGGACAAACAGAATGAACAGGATAACCTGATGAGATATCAGGACCAAATCCCTAGATCCACCTTGCTGCTGCAGAGGGTTCTAAACTCAATCAAACTTCTCTTTGACATTCAGGTTAGGTCCAGCTGACACACTAGGTTCCACATTAGTCTGTCCAGGAACTTTGTTACGCCTTGGTCAGATTCTTTGAAATACCCCAGGACACAATCTGTCATCTTATGCAGAAAATGTCCCAAATTAGTACAGTATGATGTTCATATCATTTCACGGATTCATGCCTTAGAGTAATTAAGGCAGGAGTATCAACAAAACATCATACATCTCAGTACTTGCTTTTCTACTCAAAAACAAAAAGTGCAAAAAGTTTATACAATTATCTTTGTACCAAGTAAGAGATATAAATGTTATCTGCTTCTCTAATATAACTGTTGCAAATGTAACAGAATGAGGTTAAAGTTCATACATCTTCTGCTTATTCCCTCAGGGTTGAGGTGGGGCCTGTCCCTATCTATGGGCAAAAAGCAGGGTACACCCTGGACAGGTCACCAGTGTGTTGAAGCAATGAATCACACAGAGACGTACAACCATGCACAAACGCATAAGGAAAATATAGAGAAGCCAATTAACCTAACTTCTGTGGGGGAAGCCAGAGTACCCAGAAAGAACACTCACATGCATGAGGAGAACATACAAACTCCCTGCAGAAAGACCCTAGGCTGGGAATCAAACCCAGAACCTTCTTGCTGCAAGCACACAGCGCTACAAACTGCATCACCTTGCACCGTGTCATTTCAGCTAATCAGATGGTTGATGGAATTGGAATTGAATTGAGACAGGTTTAACTCTTGATTGGGTCCACAAAAGTATTCGCCTGAAAAACAATAAAAGCTGCAACTTGGTGAAGTTGACCTGTTGGACTCTACAAAAAAAAAACAAACTAAAACCAACAGTTCACAATCCCAAACATTAACATCTGTAGAAGAAAAAAAAAAATGATACGTTTTCCTTTTTGGTTTGTTTACATGATTAACTATTAAAATCCGAATTAATGAGAAAAGGCGAGAGTTTTAAAATGTAGTTGTTTTAATTGTGCCTACATTTGTTGTTGAGCCTGCTCCACTCTACTGTTTCCTCCCTTTTATTCTGTTTTCCTGGAGTAATACTGTATGTATCATACATGTACATTTGTACATTCAAAGTAAAAACATTTTTTCCACTGTCTTTTTGTATTTTACATAAAGAATGTATAAAATATTTTATCAACATCTTTACAATGCACAGCAGGTTTTTCAAGAGTTTCAAATATGATAAAGAGGTCCAAGTGTTGGAAATGCTTAGAAAAATAATTTTAGCCTTGCAGGATATTCCTACATATAATTACTGGTCAGGTTTTTATTACAGCTACATCAGAGGGCGCATGTATCCTTATCATTCCAGCGCTCTCTTATAACCATCTAGAAAGGATTTTCTATCCAGGCTCCAACTTTGTGCATTTATGCTTTCAGTAAATGGTGAGAAAAAATAAAATACCACATCTCAGTCACTAAAAAGCCTTAAGAGACTCAGGCCTCTCTGCGGGCTGGTGATTCATGATTGTTTACTGCTAAAAGAGCTGGAGAAAAAGGTGTTGCCAAGATGAAAAAAAAATTATTCAATAAATAATCTTTTAAAAAGGCAAATAAAAATGTAATTTGTGGATTTTCTTAAAAAGACAATGGAATAAGCCGCAGAAAGAAATGTCTGAGCAAAGAAAAACCGCTTTTCAGCAGCTTAAAGGCTCAACCAAGTCAATAGCTATTAACTGCATTGTTGGCTCTCCAAGGTCCGTTTTAGCATTATTGAACATGCAGTGCTTATCGGTTAAAAAGCAACATTAAGCTACTAATTAACCGATTGTGTTTTTCTCTCCTCGGGGATGCGGGAAGCGCAGAAATGAACATTCAGCATAACTAAAAGCAGCACAGCAACACTTCTATTGAAAATCTGAACAGTTAATAGATTCATTCATATTAAAAGCAGTCTATAGAACCCTGCATAGGGCTTTAACTTTGGGCTCAATGTAAGGTCTAATATGTTCATTAATTTCTTGAACACAGTTAAAGAAGGGGTAAAAAAATCAAACAAATTCCATTATATTTCCGTTTTACAGTCTGTTTAAATTGTCTCGATACCAAAATGACCTAATAGCTTAATTTGCTTTATAAGATTTATGATGAGATTACGGATACATTTTTTAATAGATGTGGTGTATAATAATGATGGTAATAATAATAATGGTGTATAATCAATTGGTAATCATCAGCATAAAACATTGAAATCCTTATGGTGTAATAACAAAATGTTGTGTAATTGTATCTACATTCTGAATTCAATGCATGGAGACAGCTTCACCTTAAACTCCTAAATGCAGTTTGTTGTTTTGTTTCAGCTAAAAGGCCTTAATCATGCTAAAACAACTGCTCACCATTAAAACAATGTGGCTCTTTTAGCTCCCTAATCTGCACAGTGACAGCAACTGTTTTTTGTTTTTGCTCACATGTAAGTTGCAACACTAGGTTTTCTTTTCAGCTGGGAGAAGTCTTTGGTTCTGTTCAGCCTTCCAAAGGGAAACCATAATCAGCAGTAGGCTACATCCACACGGAGAGTGGTGGCAGTGATGGCAAGATTCCAATTTTGTTGTATCAGCAGGGGCAACACTAAGTCACAGAGGAACTAACTATTTTCAGAAGATTTGAGGATTTTTTTTGTCTGTCTTGTTTAACCCTTAAATGGCCTTGTCGAACTTCAACCTGAATTTTCTCTCCTCCACTACCTTCATTTCTTCAAGCATCTGAAACTCAAAGAGGACTGCTGCAAGCAGTCTGTCATGCAGTAGCACGGTTCTGAAATGTCAACCATCAAGACTTAGTATTGGTCACGCTGGAGAGCTGGACCTTGGGCCTGGGTTTTCCATGCTGGCATCTCTCCGATGTCAACATCCCAGAGCATCACGGAAAAATCCTGTGTGGTGTGTTTCTCTTATCCTTAAATACCATGGGGGGGCAAAGGCACAATTCTTGTGTCATGTGATACTGTCTTAGGGGAGGTGTTGTAGAGGAGACAACCTGCAGAGCGAAACTTTTATGCTACTCCCCCAATGGACATGGTTAATAAAAAGCATGGACATTGATTTTCAATGTCCAAAAATATTATCATGGTTTATGGCACAAGAAAATGATGGCAATGTACAGTAAATGGTTCATAACTAAATAGCTAAAATATGTTTTTTTCATCATCACAAAACATTGCTCTCGCAGGAAACAATGTACATGATCTGTTCTAAGCATGTTTCATATAGGAAGATGAGTAATGCTGCAGCACCAAATATCTACATGTTCACAAAAAAATATTTATGATTTTCCAGTGCAGACATGAAATGTAATTGATTAATAAATTATTAATAGATTTTTTTAAAGTGGTAGAAATCTGCTTTGACATGACATGAATAGCTTTGACATTTAGCTCTTATTACACTAATCTACATTAATACCAAAAACATATATATTTTAGACAGAACTTTCTTGAAGAAAAGTCAGTTTTATGTCTCTTTTACTGATTTTGACTACTTCTTACCAAAAAAGTTGGTTAAAAAACAGCTAGAACAGCTAAAAGGTTTAATTTCTCACCAGCTCAGAAACGCTGCTACAGATGCTAGAAGAAATTCAAATTACATTTTCTTTATAAATGTGAATTTATCATAAACACCCATAAAAAGTACCTAGAATGTCAAGATGTGAATTTCAGAAAGCTTGCAAATGGATGTGATAACGGCTCATGCATTCTGTGGTTTAAAGGTATTCCTACAAACAGATGGGTGTAAATGCAGCACAGGAACACAAAGCAGAGCTGAGTAGAGTCTAAAACATGTCTTTATTGATCATTATACAGAAAGCAGTGGGATGACCGCTAGATAGAGATAAATCCCAACTATTAAGTTTACAAAAAGAAAAAGGAAACGGATATATAAAATAATTGTCTTAAACATTTTTACAGGGTTTCATTTTATATGCAAAAAACCTCCTTAACGTTTCAGGAGCATAACATGACAAAGGAAACGGGGCAGTTGTTTTACAATGATGACGTTACGATCACAGGTGCTTAAAGGACAGATGGACATGTCTGTTAGGAAGAACGCACACATCACAGGTGAGGAGGAGAAACCAAACCGCAGCTCTGGCTCTTTTTCCACCGCTGCGGTGTGGGGTTAACTCTACATACTGGACACTTAATCTGTAGGATTGTTTAAATGTGTCACTAGTAAGGGATGGATCTGGTTGCCTCGTGGCTGCAGGAATATAAACAGATTGAGGACTGCACAACAAGAGTGTTTTACTATAGGTTTAGTTTGGAGGTTTTAAATGGGGGACATCATGGATTTCAAAGAAGAGGTTCACTGTAATGCAGGGTTACTCCTTCAAAAAACAGATGCCTAATGTGTTCTGTGGGTTGCTCCTTATTTAAAACAAAAACAATTTTCAAAGCCAAATGGACTTTTTGAGACGCAAACTGTCCAAAGATGTTAACATCCATTTTCCCCTTTAAACAAGCATCAGTAACTTTAGAAATATCAAAGCTGCACTCCTTGCTGAGTAAGACTGAGAGCCAGTGAAGCATATAAAGTGTAATTATAATAATTGCTGGATGGAAAATCCATGATGTTATTGTTTATTCTGGTCACTAATTTATATTTACTTTTTATTTGGCCATTATGATTTATTTGAGGTGTTTTTTTCAGGGGGCAGGGAGGTTGAATATGCAGGCAGGGCGAATTAAACTGGAAGCTTTTTAATGGCTACAACATGTTTGTATTTTATCTGCAACTTGCTGAGAAAACAATATTATACTAGCCTCTTATTATGATTCAAAAGGCCAATCACATAGCCCATGCACAACAAAAGGCTCCAACATTTCAGAAGAACAAAGGACGGCTATTTGATTTGCATCTGACTTGGAATGTGTGCAGAAGGATGGACCTCCATGCTGCTGCAATACATCAGCATTCCAATAAGAGATTGCTCTGGTGCGAGCCAACAGAATTGACAAAAAATCCTGGATAGCTGTGGAAACATCTTCAAAAAACTAAAAGTCTGTCTGCCTTCCAATTCAAGCCTGTTTGTAGCAATCTTTAACTATTTAGGCTGTAAGTACAGAGTTAAATGTATTATTTATAATACCGGTCAGTGTGTGAAAACTTCTGATCACTGCAGGCTGAAAACAAAACACACATGATACAGAGAGATAGCTAGGCTGGTTACCTCTCAGTCATGACTGCAGATCATCCCCTCACTTACTCTAAGAAGTAAATTTTACTTTTACATATTTCCTTTAAACTCAATCCAAGTCAAAAATAAAAATCTTTCAACGCTTGTTAGGGTTCAACCTTACTGCAGGGGGGTGATGGATGATGATGAGGCCTGGAAGTACTGCTTTTCCATCTGGAAGTCTTGTTTAATTTATAATTTCAGCTGACATGTTGCTCATACCAAAACAGGAAATAATGATTATTAGATCGGTTTCGGTAAAATGTACATAGTAGTTTTAAGTTGTACACAGTAACCCGGTGTCATAAAAAGACACTATTCAGAGAGAGAATTACCTGCAATACATAATCTATCATTCACTGCATGTAAATCGTATGCAATGCACAGCAAATGAGAAATATTTTTAATGAGAGAAACCTTTTTTTTTTTAATGTGCAGCCCACAGAACCATAGCACTGCTTATGGAGAGGAAGGAAGTGCGAGCCAACAGTCGAGGATGATAAACACTGAGCAACAACATCGCTAAGCCGTACAGAATATCTAGATCCAGTTATTATTTCTGTCTAAAATGTTAATGCATATATTAACCCGTGAATACATGTATGGATACATCTGAATTACAGACTGTCTGGTTAGAAAGACAATAGAAAAGGAATCAGAAAGGATTGCTTAAGTATTTAGAGACAGTAAATTTGTTCATGCTTTGTCCTGTTGCAACCACAAACTTGTATGTACTTATTAATTAATTAATACATTTTTTTGGGGGGGAGCAAGGAGGTATTTACTAACCCAAAGTAGCGCATAAATGTAAAGGGTAGGCAAAAGCATTTAGTTATGGAGAAAGCTGGAGGAGCTGCAGAGAACCTTAGCTCAGGAGGGAGAATCTGGTGATATGTGTCTGTTTATTAAGATAGTGCTGGGCAAACATTATCTGTATGGATATTGTATATTAATACATTTATGGATGAGAAAGTGTTTTTTTCTCTGCTTACTTGTAAACAATAATATTTGTGAACGCTTAATGGATTAAGCTGAGTTTACGGTTTTATTTACAATTTGTGCCCATAGAAATAGTTTAGTAAAGAAGCAAATATTGTTATATGGTCATAGTCTTTGTGCCTAGTTCCTCATCAAATCAGGTCTCATCCTTCATTTCTAAGTAGGCTACTTAGGTTTTTTCCAGATCATTCTACACCTGTTAGTTTTCAGTCCTAAAAATAAGCTTATCAGGTTTAAGGAAGAAAACTGATAAGCTTGTTTACTGTCAACTTTATTCCTAAGTTATTTCTAAAGATGTCCTAAAATGTCCTAAGGCTAAGTAAGACCAGAGTTAAACTTTCTATCTAATACAAAATAAACAGAGAAAAACTTCTACAGTATAGCATATCAGCTTGAGCACACCAGGGAAAACATAGTGGGTATAGTATAATGCTTTGGGGATACTTTGCATCAGGAAGAACAGAGAGAGTGGTAATCATTGCTTGGAAGATGAATCTCGATTAAAATAAGGAAAGAAAAAACAGTTAGAGTCTGCAAAAGGACAGAAATGTAGGTGTTTTTAACCTCCAGGGAGACAATGACGTGTATTATAACAGCTAGAGCTACAGTAGAGTCATTTACACCAAAGCCTTTTCATGTGTTAGAATGGCCCAGCATGCAATCTGCTCATTTTTATGGGCTTAACCAAACCAGTTTGCAAATCTTAATATTTGTGCAGCAATCTTTGTAAATTATGCACCACACACCATTCTTGCATGTGCAATTTAGTGCACTTTATTTAGAATCCTGGAAGATAAGGCCCTAGCCCAACTGAAACTGCAGCAAAAAGATTTTTCTAGAAATGTATTGACTCAGGGAGGCTGCCTGCAAGTTAAGAGGAATGTTTTTCAGATTTTAATATGAAAAAGCATTCATGTTTTTCCATTCTAATATTATCCAGAACTTTATGACGGTCAACCAGACATTATTCCAGAAGAAAACTTTAATGTTTGTGGTCGTAACATATTGAAATGTGGAAAAGTTCAACTACTAAATCCTTTTGCGATACACTGCACTAAATGTAGGGACAAGAGGTTAGGTTTATTTTATGTTTTCAAAGAAAAACTCAGACAGTCTGCACACGAAATGATGGTGAAATGACACATGTGCTTTTTAATGTGTTGATAAATGATCTAACTCACTGAATGTGCTGTGAATAATGAAAAACACTTAATGATTTCCAGCACTGGAACTGCTGCTGACTGAATGGTGACGAATGTTTCCCTTTGCCCAGCAGATGGCGACATTTCTTTAAAAACTGCAACATGGGAGGATTCTGTGTATTTTTCCAGCAAAAGATTCTAATTTATTTGATTAGGGAATTTAAATGTCTGTGTGTTTGTCTGTGTGTTGTAGCTGACTAAGAGTGTAGGTGTGCATGTTTTTGGAAGAGATAAAACCACTGTGTGTGTGTGTGTGTAGAAATGTGTGTGTACGTGTGTGTGTGCTTAGTATGTTCCACATGAACTGTCCCACTCAGGTTTTCCCTTCTGCTTCCTCCCATTAACCTCTCCTCTTCCCTTATTTTCCTCCTCTTCCTCTTCATCACTGCTGTCTGATTCAACCATCGTCATGCCTCCCACCAACTCAGCATCATCTTCATCATCCTCCTCCTCACATTCTTCTCCTCTCACAGCTTTTCCGTGCGCCTGGGGTCCTCTTATGTCCTAGACAAAAAAAAAGAAAAAAAAAGAAAACACAGCTCCCAAATCCAATCATGGCTGATACGCATTTTAGTCATCATATCAGTAAAAAATGCAAAGCGTTCTGGAGAGCTGAAATAGTCCCAGCTACCTCCATGGGATTGACAGTGATGTTGAGTCCAGAGCTTTCCCAGTCTGACTCTGGATCTTTAATTTCATCCTCATCATCTCTGGACCCCTCCTGATGTGCGGCATGGATCCTGTAGATCCCGATCACCACGATGATCACAAGGGCGGCGATACACACCACAATTACAACTGTGGCTGCAGGAGGAGCTGGACCTAGTGAAGAAAAGAAGGGCATAATTTCTGCACACACAAAATGAAATTAGTGGCATAACTCAATTATATTTTCCTTTGGGTGTGTTGCATTACTTTATTATCATAAATAAGATTACTAGGATGGAGTTGCATAATTTATGTACTTTTTAAATCCAACTGTTTGAACTGTTGTTCAATATGTAGAAAAAGACCAAATTGAAGAAAAAAAAACAAACAAACAAAAAAAACAAGTGTTTATGCTTGGTTGGGGCTGAAGACTTGGGGATTATGAGATAAGTCGGACAAGGTTCAGTGGAAACAGATTCATACATCACGCACAGAATCAACATCACTCTCGAATGCACAAAGGACTGTTACACAAGACTGAGCTCTTCAAAGAGGAAGTAGCTGGAATATCAGCTGTTCACTTTTTCTCTGCAAACCACATCTTTTAGTTATTGATTGGTTGTACCCTCTCTGGAAATCCTGGCTGGGAGGTTAGTGCGCCAGCTATTTATCAGGCTGTGAGAGACGTGTATAGGACTGCAGTAAAGGAAACTATATGCACATAAACTAACCTTTTATTCATATACATCCTTAAAGGTTCTTCACCATTTCTGGTACATATTAAAGATCTAACCTCTGAATGAACGACACTGCTTTTTAAACTATTTCCCATTCTAGTGGGCATGTTTATTCTTAGCTAAAAACAAAAAGGCTATCAGCATAACTCTAGTTTTCACTAACAGACTACCTGCACCAAGATACACTGGCTTAATGTTTAAGCAACAGTAACCCACTAAACCTCCCTCTGTAAGTTACAGGAAACCATTATCCATTATGCATGATATTAAAACGAGGAGTCACTGCCCCTCACTGAGTTTTTATAGTCCCAATGTGCATTAATAATCCTACTTAATTATTTACAATTCTAGAGTATACTAAATTAATGCATAAGTAAAAACAAATAACAATGAACTTTATTAATGTCCATGAAATGCTGCTAGTTGCATTCTACCAGTTATAACATGTGAGGGGTTGTTTGCATTTGAAGTTACTCTGCAAGACCTCAGTGACATCATGATCCGTCAATGGTTAAGCCTTTTCTCTTATTGGTCAGCCTGTGAATTTGCTGCCATGTTTTAGGTCTCTGTCATGTTGCAGGGTCCAGTTCTGTTTCAGCCTAATTCTATTCCATAGATGGTGTCACAGTTTCCCCCATGACCCTCTGGCAGATAGAAGAAATCCCAGCTGATTCTATAATGGTGGGCTGGTTGGATGCTGCTGCAGCAAAGCATCTTGGAGGCAATAAACTTGCAGCTGTATCCTTCACAGATGGTGTGATGATCTTTTTCATGGAATACTGTATTTAGTTAAAAGGAAACACAGGATCTGTTCTGGTGTCCAAATAATTAAATTTTAGACTAATCTGATTCCTTCATGATGTTTATCTTCATTTGTATCTAGCTAATTTTAGCCTGGCCTCTAGGAATCTCTTAGACCAAAGGGAGTCTATGTTGTACAAACTATAAATATCATCAGCAGCAACAGCCTGGTGTAGGAGTCAGGATGATATCTCAGGGGTTTTCAAAGACCCTTTAACACGTTGGCTGTCTGCTTTTAGGGTGAATTTGTTTGGAGAACCAAAAACCAGAAATGTTTTGCGTTTGTTTTAAATGTAATTTACTATTTCCTATTGCTAGGGAAAAGCTGTACATGAAATCCTCTACAATCCCTTTTGGAGGCTTCAAATACCAAACTATTTGATTTTTAGGGCAAACCTTCCTAAGAGTAATGAGTTCCTTAATGCACCCACTGTAATAATCTTATGCATAACTGTTTTTAATTGTAATACATTTGATTAGAAAAGGAAAATTTGTTCAATCCAACCAATAAGGTTAAGATAGGGTGCCATTAGACAAGTGATGCAGAAAACCACTTCTTTATTCGGGGCTTACCTGACATGTGTGAGTTAAGTGAGTGAATCATTAGCGGGTGATGGACGGGTCTCATGTACTGAGCCTGTGCAGCCATATGATTGACATGTTCCATGGGTGCTGTGTGGTGAAGAACACTGACCTAAAGAAGCAGGAACAAAGAGCTGTTATTCCCAAAAAAAAGGAGAGACCAAGGAAGGTACCTATGACACTGTGTGATAAGTACATAAAAACAAAGAAAATGAGAAAAGATGTAGGTTTATGTAAAAACCCAAACTTGCCTCCAGATTAAACTCATTACTTGTGTAACGTCCATTGAGTTCAGAGCAGGTTAGTCTGAACCTTCTCTCTGTTAGAGAGGCAGGTCTCCAGTTTCTGTAGCGTAACTGTCTGAGAACCTGCTCATAGTGGGCCATGGAGTCCACACCTGGGGACAGTCAGACATTATACTTTAATAGATGAATTTCAATCTCAGCAGATCAGTTGAACAGGTTGACCATCCCTTGTTGCCCACAATTGATACAGATTTTAGTGAGAGAAATGCTAAAGGTGAAGGATAGTGAGGGGATATTATCATAGTATTCCTACCTGTAAAAAGATGCAGCTTTCTAAAAGATGCTATTTAGTTTTCCAAATATTTTCTAACTACATTTTATTAGAAAATAAAGAATTTATTGTTGTTTTGTAGGGATTTTTTCAAAATGTCTGGAGAAGCAAACAACAAGGCTTTTAAATGATTACTGATTTTCTAAATGTGGACCAAGCTATATAGTTAACAAAACACTTTGGAGCATAAAACAATTTTTTTGTATTTATTTTATATTGTTTTGCATAGAACAGTCTGACAGTATTAGAGGTAACAGTAGAAATATGGCATGAGAAAAACCTTTAACGTTCAATAATAACTATCAATATTCCACAGACGTTTTAAAAAATCTAAAGGGATTTTCTGCCTATTTCCTGATTCGCATTTAAAGAGATCACGTTAAGATTTATAACAAACATATTCTGAGTTTTAAGGTTAAGAAGTGCTGTGAAATGAACATATCTACCATATATTGATATTCCAGAGGTGGAATTGGTGGCATCAAGGTGTTTTCCCAGTAAAGCACTGTGGTGAATCTCCAGGCTCTCTCTCTCTGGTTCCAACTCCTCTCCGATAACAAGCACATCACAGTAGTCCAGGTTATGCATTAGCTCCATCACCCCAGGTCGGTGGACTGCACACACAGACACCACATTATAAGTAATATGACTAAAAAAAAACAGCTTGGAATGATAAAAGTTAGCAATTAGGGTGTAAAGTCGATGAACTGAGACATTAGAGCAAGCTGTTAAGAAAAAAGCGATCCTTTAAAAGCTGAGAGGAGCGGCCACTCACATCCTCCAAAGCTGTCGCCCTTCATTACTGTACTAGTGATCCGAAGCTCTTTGAAGGGCGCCACACCCAGCGGGCTGCGGAGGTCACTGGCTGGTCTGACAAGCTGCTTGGATCCTGAAATGGTGATTGTGGGTTCACTTGGTGGCAGCACCATAACCATTGCCTTGATGTCTGGGATGGAGACACAGGTGTCCTCTCCAAAACACCTGACAGAAGGACAGGTGAGGTGTTAAAGCATACTCGTGCATACACACTTAGGGTTTTCTTCACTTTTTTGTTCTAATTTAGAATTTAACAAAAAAAAAAAAAACACCTATTTTTGAAAATAAAAATTCTAAGTGTAATTTCTAGAATAGATACAGTACTGCAAAAGTTACAAAAAGAAAAACTGAAAACATGGTAAAGCTAATTTTAGCTGATGTTACCCCTGCCAAAACCTTTTTACTGCATGAGAAGATGTACATTTAAAGGTCCTATCGAGGCTCTTTTTGGTATTAGATCTGTAATCCTTACAGATTTAGTTTTTAGATAAAACATTTCCTCAAACCTATGAATTATTTTTATTTTACTATAATCGTCACCTCAATCTCAAGAGAAACTAAAAAAAAACGTCATTTTCTGACCCTATGCATCAAATCATAAAAAAACAACAACATGTGAATAAAAAGAAAAAACAAACATAGTAAACAAGATAATCAGAGGGGTAACCTGCCACCAACAGTTAAAAAACGGGTTCAATATGACTTTTATTTTATACACTTAATCCTTTTATCCCTGAGTGTAAAACACCCAGTTTTAAACTCATGGATTATTATACCACACTTAGCATTTTATGTGTAGGTTAACATGAGGATGTTCTTTCTCATGTTTGCAGTGTCCGCGTCATTGTTACAGAAAGCTGCTAACAGGACTATCTAAGGATTTCTCTTAGCATAAGTTTTCTTTTTGCAAAAAAGACAGATCTGATAAGTAATGGTTGTTCTGTCAACAGGGCCTTCTTTTCTTCTTAGCTTTTGGGTATATTTGGATGTTTAAGATAAACCAAACAATATACATTGTGGTAGGTGTCATGTCAAAAGTATTGTCCTCCATAGAATCTGTTCTGCATGAACATTTTCTATGAGTAAATAACAGCATTAAGTGAAAGCAAACAGTTAAACTTGATATTTTCACTTTAAGATGCTTAGTAATGCACACTGCTTAAAGGGTTACATGTATTAAAAATACACTTTAAGCATGCTGTTAGAAATTTCTTGGGTTAGGGTCCCAATTAAAGAGAAGCATAGATTTATGATGGTGCTGCACAGTGATGCAGTGGGTAGCACCATTGCCCTGCAGCAAGAAGGCTCTCGGTTCGATTCCCAGGCCTTGGTCTTTCTGTATGGATTTGCATGTTCTCCCAGTGCATGCCTGGGTTCTCTCTGGATACTCCGACTTCCTTCCAAAGTCCAAAAACATGATTAATTGACTTCTCTAAATTCGCCTTAGGTATGATTGCGTGCAAGAATGGTTTTTGGTCCTGTTTGTCTCTGTGTTTTCATGCAATAGACTGGTGACCTGTCTAGGGTGTACCCAGCCTCTCACCCATAGACTGCCGGAGATAGGCACCGGCCCAACCCTGACAGGACTGAGCTGGATCAGATGAAGGATGGATGGATAGATTTATAATACTAGAGTTGCTGTGATGGGCTGCACAGGGGTACAGTTTATAGCTTTGTTTCCTTGTAGCAAGAAGATTCCAGGTTCAATTCCCGACCAAGGGTCTTTCTGCATGGAGTTGCCATGTACTCCCTGCGCCCTTCAGGTGCTCCAGCTTCCTCCCACAGTCCAAAAACATGACTGGTTGAACTGGTATCTCTAAATTGCCCTTATGTGTCAGTGTGTGTGCATGGTTCTATGACTACATGTGTCTCTTTGATGCCCTGTGACAGATTGGCGACCTGTCCAGGGTGGACCCCGCCTTTCAGCCATAGACTGCCGGATATAGGCACCGGCCGCACAGTAACCCTCCTGATGTCATAAGTGGGAGAAAATGGATGGATGGTGTTTCTTTGACGAAAATGAGCGGAAATTGTTCATATCTTTCCAAATGTTCTGAACATTTTTAGTTTTACTTTAAATCATTTGCTTTTAGTAGTTTTCTCTGAAGTATCCAATTAATCAACTTAGTTTTTTTTTGGCAAACACATGGACTGAGAGGGTAGACAGATGGTAAAATAAATAGAAATGAGTGCAGCAGTAAAGTGCAACAGAGTGAGACCTTATCTCTCAGCAGAATACAATAGATTTCCAAAAGTTGCACAATGTTGTTTTATTGTACATAAATGCAAATCTAAAAAGATATGTTTGTTTCATCAAAGCCTAAGGGAACACAGGCAACACTACATCACTGTAGACTTATGATTCCTCACATGGCTGTACAGTCGTTATAAAACCAATGAATCCAGCAACACTATTTACAAATAAAATAAAACGATCAGGATTTAAAAAAAAAAGCATCTATAGATTTCCCTAATCATAGACTGCAGACATGTTCAGTTTGCAGATTGGGCACAGAGGATTCTTCCAGCTTTATCTTGCTGCCAGCGGGTTAGAGGTGCACAACGCCTTTTGTTGTTCCAAAGGCTCGTCTTATTTTATCAAACAACATGTGTCTGATCTGACCCTGGCCTACCTTTGAAGGTAAACAATCTACTGTAGCTGTATGGGTGTGAAGGCAGGAGAAGACAAAACAGAATCAAATGTTAGACTCAGACCGACTTAGAACGAGATGCACTCTGGATCTAATTGGATTGTAATTAAAAAAATGTATACTAAATACATCTACTAGTTAGTTAGTCTTTAATTTGCCAAAAGTAAAAAAATAAACAAACACCTTTTTGAGATTGAATGTAGTGTGTAAACTTCAGGAAATAATGGATGAATCTGGATGAATTAATTAGGCTTTTGGTTCGACCAATCTAACTGAGACACCTATTATTTTTTTCACTAATATCAAAAAAAGTCCTATTTTATGTATATATCTGAAATAGGGTTGTTACGATACTAAACTTTTCAACTCGATACCGATACTAAGGAAAATATTCGATACTCGATACCATTTTCGATACCACAATGATAAAAACAAAGACTCCAAAATTCTACAGAAATATTTACATTAATAAATAAAATACAATAAACAATAAGAACAATATTTTGAGGTTGTATGCTGTGCACAATATTAAGCAAGCTTGATAAAAAACGTATAAAATTAAAATTAAGTGTTCCTTCCTTGGCTATGCTTTGCACACATAACAATGACACTAGCCAAACCGGTTAAGAAACTAAAATAATTCTCAGCAGCTGCACCTCTTACAAAAAAAAAGTCTGAAACTGAAAAGTGCACAGAATTATTCAATCATACAGTGTTCTGAAAGTGCATTGTCCTCTATTCTGCACTTTAGATGAATGACTGCTAAGGTGCCACTGATGGTGGCACTGTATCGATACTTTTAAAAACGAGTATTGTATCCGGATACAACGTTTCAGTATCGATACTTTTTTGAGTATCGATACTTTTGACAACCCTAATCTGAAATAAAGACACTTCTTAGATCAATATGTTTGAAGATATTAAGAAAATGTGGCAGTTTTTTATAGATCAGATAAAAGAAAAGCCTTGAGAGAGAGTCCTCATCCTGAAGATCTGCCAGAGTAAAAAACATTTCATAGGGTTCAAAGCAAATTTCAAAGCCCACAAACAGATGCAGGACAAAAAATAAAACTAAAGCAAGGGCAGGGACAGTTAAGAGTCCGTGCAAACACCATCAGGCTTTATTTCCTGGAAGTACATCTGCTTGTTTTTGATGGTTTAATTGTTTTTACAATAATGGTCCATTTTTAGCATCTCACTGCGTGTTCAATGGCTTGATGACAAAGTCAACCCCAACATCTGCCACAATTTCATACCTCCTTCACACTTTATTATACATTCATTATTTCAGACACAGCACATGTAAATCTTTTACAGAAGAATCCCCAAAAAGTCACAACAGCTGTGTCAAAAACCCCCACTAATTGTGCTGTGAGTAAATCTTAATTGTTTCTTCTAAAGAAAAAGAAGAAGCAAGTTTACACTAAAAACTTTATGACACATCGAGTGATCAAATCACGCGACGTAGGTCAAAAATCTGAAAATGGCGACACTAAACACTTCCTGATTTATGAAACCAAGCATTTTTTTTATAAACCTAGAAGTTTCCACACAATGTTCCATCTCATGTTTTGCCCTCTAGACGCCCACATTCAATTTAAATAGCTCATCCAAAGCACTGCATGAATGTCACTGTGTATTTACAGTAAATGAGCCAGCTGATCAATGTTATTTCATGGTTACCAATGGCAACCGGAGAAAAGAGAGCGAAAAAATATGTTTGGTAGCCACGGTAGAGGGGTGAAAATTGAAAAGAAGTATTATTAATGACACCCTAAAAGTCAGATATATGGAATGACCAGATTAACAAAGACCTCCGGTTAATACTGTGCTTATCACTGGCTGTGATATCTTAGATTCATGGAAAGGTCTAATTTTAAAGAGTTATTTTGTTGAAAAAAGTAGCTTTAGAGAGATAGTTAATTATTATGTTAAAACACAATCTTTATGATTTGGACAAAAATGGTTGAGTTCTGGATACATCTTATGTATTGAGATGTTTCCTAATCTTTTGAGGATTTATTGTGATCTTTTGTAAACTGGCATGAAGACTCCTCCATTTTCCACCCATATTAAAGATATAGGGAAGGATTTCCCCTCATTTCTGAAAAGACTAATGTGCATGCTCTGTTTACAAGTTGCTGTGTGCATCGGTCATAACAGCTTACTTTCCAAAAGAAGATTAGCAACTTTTTTCACTATGTCAGACTCACCACCTGTAAGTGAAACTGTATTTTTGACAAGCGTAAATACGATTGTGAATGCAAATATGTGTGTATCTCTGTAGCTACAAGCATCTTTACAGCTAACTTACGCATGTTACAGGCCAATAAACAAGCTATCGGCTAGCAAGATTTTTTTTTCTGCCTGTGCATTTAGAGCTTTCAATAGCGAATTCTTGTAGGATCCGTTATGAGAAAGGTGAGCTTCAATAATTTGCTAAGACCGTATCTCACCACACATATACACCTCAAAGTGTACATGCACAGAAAAAGATAGCTGCCTAGGGACGAGCATGTAGGACGGCCATACGTAAAGATATCACCAGAATGATTGACAATTAGGAGGACCACTTATTTTGATGATCCACCCGGAAAAAGAAAATCCTTCCCTATACCTTTAAACACTATTTATATCTATAATTTATTAATATATTTTAAATTCTATATGTACAGATAGCTGGTTATTTATATATTCAATTATGTGTCTTTAAAATCATGCAGCCATCATTCCTTCACATTTGTGCACTGATCTCATGGCATGGATACAGCAGGTTGCTCTCTCGAAAACTGAACCCAATTAGCACATAGATCCAAGAGAAATGCTCTAATGGCAAAGCATGATTAATGTACAAGCTCCTGTACCTTTTGGTGTTCATCAGCACTATAGCTTAAAGCTTATTCTGTTTCTGTCTGCACTGTTCCTTAAAAAGGAAAAAGGAACTGGATTGCGGTTTTGCGGTTAGAAGTCCTGGTATGTGGTTCACCTGGAAAAAAAAATCCCACTGTGTCATACTGGCCCACTGAAAGCTCTGCTAAAATATACATGACATCTTTGCATGATGCTACCCTGAACATTTACATCCCTGATTTAAACACCCTTTTCCTCTAATAACCCCTTCTGTGTTTTAACTGCTCCTGTTGTTAGGGTTCATAACTTGTGATCTTAATTGAGTTGAGCCTTTCCAGCAGTGCTTGCAGGCATTTTGATATCAGTGGTTAGAAGAAGGAAAGAAAAAAGTCATAAAAATAATAGTGTGTGCTTTTCAGCAATAAGACTATTCTTCACTCTATAATTCATGTCAAGTTCATCCAAACTCTGTGAAAAGGAGTAACTACTAGAAGTTTTACATTTGTTTCACAGACATAGGCTACAATGTTCTTTTATTTTTGATGAATGGGAGTTCAGATAACCTGGTTTCGTAAAGTCATAACTTCTGATTTTCTCTCTGAAGATGTTCCTTTGTGAGACACAACAGAACTCTAAGTGTAAGTATTGTCCCAGAACAGCATTTTACTTGCCATCTGCAGCATGAAGCTATAATTTTAAACATAAAATTAATATACAATCCTAGACTGTGGTGGTATTTTAACATTTTTTAACGTAAAATGTTTAAATGTTTTAGCATGAAGCATTTTAGCTTTGTGCCTCCAAAGGGTACTGTACAAGTTTTTCATGTAAAATCTAGGTAAAGTTAAAACAGGAGCTGTAGTTGAGGGTAAACCATGGTAAAATGGTGTGTTACCTCCCCCTGTGTGGAGGTAACTGTACAGGTTGCATAAATGTATTAATACCATGCTTGGTGTTTGAATATAATTCCCATGTAAGACTACAATCATAATTGTTGTATTATTATTTGTTGCTGCAGCAGTTAAATTTGCAGAACTCATTGTGAGGCTGTAAACTAAGTCCTCGCAGATTTACTTTCCAGCTACAGCAACAACCTTTAGTGTCATGATGATAAACACAACACTTCTTATTTGAGTGGCTATTTAATTTTATGAGTTATTAACTTCATAATGTGCAATAAAAAATAACGAGGCATCAAATTACATACTAGAACAGGTGTAGAAGACTTTGTTCAAACACACTATCCCTCCTTTACCCCTTACTGCTTCACCTTGTGTCTAAATGCTTTGCCTGATCCCTGCTCCAAAATGCAAAGCCTGTGATGAAGACATTAGGTTGATTGTGATGCATAAAAGTAGAAGACATATACCCGGTATGACAAAAAAAAATCCGTCCAGGAATCTCGGGTCCCAGAACCTAATCTTAATAAACAAAACCTTTTTAGAAAAAGACAGTTATGGAAAATAGCCAAAACCATTTGTTCTTCAGAAAAGAAAAACTCTGCTTAATCTCAAAGATGACAAAGTTGAAACTGCATCCACTAAGTAAATGAGGACTCACTGTACAGACGTGGAGATGTGCAGCCGTCTGAGGCCTGGCGTGGGGAACTGGCGAGAGTTGATGTAGGAGACCTTCGTCATGGCCGTATTGATGCTGTCCACGTCCTCTCCTTCCAACACCAACACTGATTGGGCTGGGTTAAAGTGAAACTGGACAAACACAAAAAACTTTCTAAGCTCAAACTGGTTGTTTTAACTCAGGAACTCAGGATCTTTAATCAGAGCTGTTTATATAAGAGCCTTCACTGATTACATGCGACAGTGTCATAGTGCTGCAATAGAGATGCAGAGATAATGAAGATTCTCTACACTAACTGAAGTGTCTTGATAACTGTGAGTAGGAGCTTCATGTTTCCACATACCTTTATATCCTTAGCAAGGCTTTCAAGGGAGTTAATATCAAGGCCTTCTTTGCAGGCCTGCAAGCAGGAGATAACCTTCTGGGTTTCAATGCGGCCCGGTCGAATCGTCAGACCTGAGAGGCTGCCATGGAAATACTGAGTGAACCTCGGTGTTACCACCTCACCGCCTAAAGGGAAACAAAGACAACAAAGGGTGTTGAGGAAAAATTAGGAACAGGAGATATTATGGGGAAGAAAGTAGTAAAAAAAAGATAATTGTAGTAAAGGACAGATGCAATCTAAGAAAAGTATAAAGACTCATATTATTCATATTCAGGCAACTAAAGCAATTGATTCAGCTTTAAAGTGGGTCATTCATAGAATTATGTATCAATGTATATATCTATAACAACTTGGATTTCAAGGCAGAGCTGTTTGCAGAACTAGATTTAAAAACTACAAAAACAAAACTCCAGACAACATTTGACATATTGAGTTTTAAAAAATACTTTTTTTTTTGCTTTATATGTCATTAAATTTACGTAACTTCTTCCCTTATATGATTTTTTAAAGTTTCTTTTCAAATATAATTTGAGTAGTATTAGGTAATTAAGAGGGGGCTAAATTTTGGGGGGGGGTCTGCGCAGTTTGAAATTCCCCTTTTAATTTATTTCTACAAGGAGAACCCTTGCAAAAAAATTGACAAAAAAATCAGGTTTGGAAAATAATTGTTTTGTAATCTCATGGTTTTATACCTGTTATCTACTGAAGTCCTCAAGGGCTAATATCCTGAAACTCTTAGACATGTCCCTGCTCCAACACACCCGAATCAAATGTATGAATTATCTCTTCAACATATATTCAAGTTTCCAGAGTCGTACAAATAACCTAATTATGTGATTTTAAGTGTGTCAAAGCAGAGATGCATGTAAAAGTCGCAGGACATCAGCCTTCAAGGACTGTTGTTTGACTCCTGTTACTTCATGTTTTTGGTTTCTCCAATGACATGTGTCATTTAATTTCACACTCAAGGCAAAAAAAAAACAACAACTTTATGGATCAGGAGATCACCTTTTCCTCTCAAGTTTTTCTGCATACCCCTTAAGGAATCACACAGAATCAATATACTCTGAACAAAAATATCAGCAAGTTTCATATAGAGATACAAACATGCTAGACTCAGCCAAGTACCTCAGCAGAACAGTATGCCCTGGCTGGGGTTCCTGTATATATCAAGTTAGATAAATATCACCTAAATATAAACAAAATGAGATGTCAGATCATTATAGTCTTTAAAGTCTTGTTATTAGTATGTTAGAGCAGCATAATTACAGAAGGTTTTCAGGGTAAAGCTGGATAGCATACTGCAATGTCCATATACCATAAGCTAGCACACAATTAAAACACTCATTTAATAGTTTTTACACATACACACACACAACATATATTTCAGAGCATGCAGATGCTATTGATTTGAATAAAGTATTGAGTTGGGACATGCATAATTTGAAATGACTCAGATTGGTATCAGGGGCAAGAGCCAATCAATACACCCTCTAAATGAAACAACACATGCAGTCATAATACTGATTATTATTGATGACCTGAGATTCTATTAACCAAGTGGTAATGATGTGCTTAAAACCTGAGGTTTTAATTATGTCCTGTTTCTTACAACATATCAATTAAATAAAAATGAAATGGAGCATTTAAAAAAGACTGCATAGGTTAAATCCAGGTAATCAGACAGAGTAGCATTAGGAAATGGTAGCTTATTTTGCCCTTGCATTGCAATCTGAAGGAAACCATGAGACATTGGCTCAGTATTTTTATTGTTTGAAGTCACTCTTTCTTAGCTCAAACAGGAGGTTCCCTTTGAGCAAAACCTGTACAACATAGAGCAGCCTGGGGAATTGTGGACTGTAACTGCGGATGCTCTTACGAAGCAGCTAACCTGCATTTAGCTGGAGGTATACTTTCTCTCCCAGCTCTGTGGGAGAGAACTATATCTGTATATATGTGGACCTGAGTGAGTTGATCCTATTACAGAAACAGCCGTCAGCAAGTTGGAAACCAGCTTCTCCTACAAGCTTGGATTTTTCTCCCTAGACTTACAATGTACAGAAACAAAAGAAGCAATAGAAACCACAGGGTCCATCTTGTTAACAGACTTTCCTCCAAAGGTATTACAGTAAAAAAAAAAAAAACTCCCTCATTATCTTGGATCCTTCTGAGAATTATATGTAAATGTTGGATAAATTATTCCAGTAACAATGGGACCATCTTTTTTGGAGAGATGGAGAGCAGCAAAAAAGGGTCCTTTGGGTTCTTTATCAGTAGAGTTAAAGTATGGACACTGTGGTGGGTAAAGCCTGTTTGATTTAGTGCAATGATCTCTAAGAAACTATACCAAAAATGTTATGTAAAAAAAAAAAAAAAAAAAAAAAGGCAAACAGAAGAAAAACTAATCATAGTTCTTTAGGTTATTGCATATCCTGCTGAGTGATTAAGAAAACCTCTGTTTTTTAAAACTGTCTAGGTCGATGTTGAGTCCTATTAAGCAGGTAGTCTATCCACTTAAAGCATGCTGTAAAAATGTTTTTCCATAAAAACCCATCAAGCTACATTAAATGTATGTTATGAATTGTAGTTATTGCATTGCTCTTGTTTTTGCACTCAGATAACACATGGTGAGTACTGTGCATTGCAGATGATGAATTGTTATAGGCTGGAGCAGAGTGAGAAATCCCCTAATATCCTTGCTCATCATCCTTCATCTATGCAGAAATATTTCCTGTTAAAATGCTTTTTCTCTTCCATTTTGCAAAACAAAGCAAAAAAGTTTTATTAAGAAAGAGTGTCCATGAGTCAATAACTGGATGCTCACAAGATTTGCTGTCTACTGTAGACATGCACTCAGTAATTTAATGATTCAGGAGCTACAGGTAAAACTAAATAACATTGTGTTTTAAAGAAAGGGAGAAGTTTAAGATACCCTTTCATAAATGTTATTCAGCAATTTACTTTAAGTGCCAGTGGCTACTCTATAGATCATATGTATCTGAAAGCAAATTTGTAAATTGTAAGATCTTTTAAATTTCTAAGGTTGATTCAAACAGCAGGGTATGACGGATTTTCTCAGGAAATAGGAAAAAAAGAAAATGCAGATTGTCTTTGGGGGTTTGCTTTTAATTTCTTTTTAGGTTTGGAAGTAACAGTAGAACTTATTTTATGTGTTAAGACATTTATGGGTGCTTTCTTTTGCTTGTGAACAGGCATAATGTTTCCCTTTTGCTCTATCTTCCTCATACCTCAACCAAAATAGTTAGATTATCCTGAGCTATTTTCTATATTTATGCTGCTATAGGTTTAGGCTGCTGTAGGAGGCAGGGTTTACTTTTCATCATTCTACTTCATTCTATCTCTATTCTCCAAATTCTGCAGTATTTAAGTTCCAGTCATACCTTTATCTTGCTTTTTCTTGTCATTGCAGCTTCATCTGGTAGGGGATTGTGCTTGGAATCCAGAGGTTGTCAGTTCAAGCCCCACTACCAAGGAGTGCCACTCTGGCTCCCTGAGCAAGACAATTTAACCATCACACTGCTCCCCGGGCGCTGCACAATGGTAGCCCACTACTCCCAAAGGGAAGGGGTTAAATGCTGAGTTCATTTTGTTGCTCTGTACTTGTGACAGTGTAATGACAATAAAAAAGCTGAAAAATATATATGTATATGTGGTCTGTTCCTGTTTGACTGTGACTACATCTTGGAAAGAAATATCATTTGGGTTGTTGTCATCAACACCTTTATAGGTATTTCCTTCCTGGAGAGGGCCAAAAGATAATATTTAGCATCTTTGCTTCTTTCTGTATGTCTACTTCTGTCTCCCTGAACCCCAGTCAGTCTTGGCAGACAACCACTCAGGTTAAGCCTGGTTCTCCAGGAGGTTTCTTCCTGTTAAAAGGGAGTTTTCCCTTTCTACTGTCGCTTCATGCCTTCTTGGTGTGAGGGATTGCAACAAAATGCAAGCGGATATCATTGCCGCAAGCTCATCCAGGAGGAGTGTATCCTGCAAGTCAATAATTTGATGCAATCAGCTGGTTTTCCTTGATAGAAACTTTGAAACAATGTTTCAAAGTTTCTATCAAGGACTTTTAACACTGATCTGTGTTAAAAGTCCGTGCCCACATTTAACACTACATTACTTATGATGCACCAGTTTATTTTGTAGTTCTACTTGCACATGAGTTATTTTGTGCTTTGGCGTGGCTCAGTGCCGTGAGACCAGCATTCAGGGAGCAGGAATTACCGTCCACTGCCAATTGTATGCATTGTATTGTATTTGCAAATTGTGTGATGTAAGTATAGTTCCTTGCCCAATATTTCTCTTTACTTCAGTTCTTTACTGTGGTTATTTGTCCATTTGGGGAACTGTTGTCATTTTTATTCACCTGCCACTACAAGTATATTTAAGTTAATAATCTGATTGAAATGTCTCTGTAAAGTTCCTTGATATGACACGGGCTGTGAATTGGGATTATACAAATAAATTGAATTAAATCGTATTCTTAAAGATTTCCAACTCTGTTCAAAGTGACTCTTCCCCTAACCCTAAAATTAATTTCTTTTATCCTGCCAAATGGATCTCTGTTTCAAAAAAACTTGACTTCTCATGGAGATGAAGACATTAAAATGTATACCTTATAAAACTACATCATGGTAGGAAAAATGTATATAATTAATAGAAGTATATACATCTATTGTATTAACAACCTAGGTGTTTAAGGGTTTAGCAAGCCTTGCCATAAATGATCAAGATTGATCATAACTGACATCTTTAGGTTAACGCTTCCCTCTGCTGGACAGGCTCTCTGCCATTTTGCCCCTATGCTACGCTACTCTGCTCTGGTGGCAGGGAGGGCCTAAGCACTGTTCACATGGACGTGCATGCACGCCCAGCCAGGCTTATAAAAATGAGTCTGAGGAAAAACACACAGATGGTGTGTGGTGTTCCATGATATTCTATCTGAAAAGATACATTTAGTTCTTTACATTACTATTTTAAATTTCTTTCTCTCTGAAGAAAATGTTCTCTGCCTAATGCTTAAAGCACCTTTGCCGATGTACCAGAACACTTATTTTACCAGGATGTTTTTAATTTGGCTTAATTTTTACACCAGGTTTTCATACAAAAAACATTATATTCAGATATTTAGATTTTCATGATTAAAGGTCAGAGAGCAGCATGACTTCATGCATCTCATTTATCATTTTTAGAGAAAACAATTCTTCCAAATGTTTCAACCAGAATTAGTTTCTGGCTAAAACTAGCATCGAACTGATCAAATTTTAGTGATATATATCAGAGGTTACTTTGGCTATTCAAGGCACATTTTTGGGCAAAATATAGACTCATATTATCACTAATATGATACTAGACGGAGTCTTAGTCTCAACCCAATCAGAGCTGGCTAAAATAAATGTATAAATAACAGTACGGGACTTCATGACTAAAGTCAAATGGAAATACTTAAAGCAAGCCAACATATTGCATGTAATTTTTTTTAAAACCAAGGTATTTATATCTGTATTACAAGCGGTCCACGATATTTCTGTTGATCTAAATCATAATGGATTTCCCTAACAGTTTAGTTCTCACCTTTAGAAATTGACTTTTCAATGAAATAGACTACAGACATAAAGGGAGGATGAGCAGCCAAAAAAAAACAACAATGTGACAAAAAAAGAGATCTTAAATTTATAACTGAAATTAAAGGAAACTAGATATAACACAGGCCAGTGGAAGTAATCAAAACAAAAAAAGAGCTAATTGTGACATTCCCTTCTGCCCCCAAGGGCAGATGGCAGGCACCCTTAATAAGTGCATTAACCAGAAACAAAACCTAAACAGGGTGAGCAGAGGTGGCCTTGGATGTAAGGCTCAAAACAAACACTAAACCAGAGATCCGGGGGGAGATCCAGCAGTCATCTCGTAGAGGAGGCCCTTATAAGTAAGGTTGAAACCTTGGAGGCAAGTGAAGAGGCCTGCTGTGAAGTTTGATGTTGACCACATAGTAAGGCAAACCAATGGCTCTTGGACCAACAAATGAGCATAAGAAACGTAAGTCTTTGGAGAAGCTGTGAAGGCTGAGACCCCACAGAGAGGCCAAGCAGCCAGAAACCCACAGTAGAGCTCAGCAACAAGGAACCCTCATTGGAGCAGTCAGGGACAGAAGACCAGGCATGTCTATATAGACACCTTCACTGAAGGACTCATAGACTGGAGCATGAGGCAGATAAGTTTGACCAACCATATCAGAAACCTCAGGAACTGAAGCACTAGGAATGTTTACTCTGACACACAATGGCTTGAGATTGCAGCAGCAGGCCTAGGTGCTGGCTGACAGAGAAGAGGGGCCATCAGACAGTGTAAGGTGGGATTAAGGTCTTGCAGGGGTGTCAAACAGAGTCCAATTAAGCCATTAACTTAGCAGAATGAGCTGTGATTGCCTCAATGAAGGTAGGAAGCTGGCTGAGGGCAGCCAGTGCAGCAGTGTGTTAACTCTTGTGGACTAAGAGTGAGCCATCAGACTCAATAGCTACCTGTGTGTCATACTATTTGAGGCATTCTGCACTAATTAGAGGAGTGTTAACGCTACCCAAGCAAGGTCATTTTTGCACACCAGGTTAACCAGGACCAAAGCAATGATATCAGCTGGAAAATCTTTAAAAAACTAAAAAATAAGCTCACTCCCAAATTCCTGAAGTCGATCATTACTGGAACGCAATAAACTAAAAATATTTCGATGGCATTTGTTAAAACTATTCTTGAAAGACAACCTGTGCTGGTGGAAATTGGCCTTTTATGAATGAGCTGAAACAGACTGACATTTTCAGCACCGCACTGAATTCTTTCTATTGTGGATCTGGGCGCTATCATGTAAAAGAGAACCACATTGTGCTTTTTTAATGTAATAGACACTTTTCAATTTCCTGCAAAAAAAATCTCTTTTATTCCCACCCTTCACCTTGTCCTCTTATATCGTATGTAAACATTACTAAGGTGAACACCCAAAATCTCTTGCCAACTTGAATCATATGATAAACACAGATGTATAATTGTAACTATAAAAAGCTGACTGCATGGCGTACTGCAATAAAAAACTACTTGAGATCAGCAGCATTCAAACCATTTTCTTGTTAACCTTCAAAGTAGCAATGCACACAATCTTTTGACTTGTACGACAACGAGAATACAGTGTTAATGTCTGTTTTTATTCCACATGCTTCATCACTATGTTGTTGATTGTGAGGAAAAGAGGACGGAGAAACCAGAGACTCTGAAAGGCAATCTTGCTTGCTAATGGTCTGCAAAGTTATCAGTTGTGGCTTAGTGAAGCTTAAAGCGGCTTCATTGGGATGTAATAGCTGGAAAACTTGTCCCCCATTCTGTCTTGCTAATCCTTCCTTCAGGGCTTTCTCTCACAATCAAAGATTCGTAGAAAGAGGCAGCTCAAGAGGGCTGGATGAGGCAACGAGGCAATAATGATGACGACAGAGAAAATTGCAATCAGGAGCTGAATGAAGGAAAATTTAAACACCACCCGAAATGTCATTATGATTGAGGCGTTGGAGGATGCTCAGGAAGTCTTACGAGTGGGATTTAGACATGCTGCTGAACAGATCGCTCCTTACCGTTCTGCCCTATGAAGCATGTTTTTTGTAATAATTCAAGTAATAAACAGCAGCAGTATTCATCCCACTCTAATCACTGCTTACTTTAATTTCCCTTGGTTGAAATGACATGCAGAATCTGCTGCCGATATTCACCCTGCTTGAAAAAGAAAACACTATTAGCCTCAGGTGTAACATCTTAATCCCCTAGTGCATTCTAATGCTTTCCTGTTTTCTCACCCTCTTTCTGTTTGGGATTCTACAGAGCTTTCTACTAAAGATAAAGTGTTTGTCACCAGTTTTAAAATAAACCCAAGTCCAGTGAACAGAGCGAAAGGTGTCAGACCAACAAATCCTGCAGCTCATTGATTTTGGAGCTGTTTTTCTACATAGGGTCTGCTTTTAATTTCATTCTGTTCCAAAGAAATGATTACAGTAACTAGACATCCATCAGGTGAACAAATTTCAGTTCTCATATCTAAATAAGGCAGTGAACCTGAATAGCTGACCAATCACACCACAGGCTTTAATAATAACCGTGTGTAATGCCTTTATGCTCACCGATCCTTCGTTTGAATTTTATTTTTCCAAATTTTGCTCATATGCATTATAATGTTGTCCTCTCCTACTTCCATTTTATATCCAATCCTTTTCTATCCATGAACATAAATTACTGTTATTCAATTTCTCTGGAAAAGTTTGCATCATTTGCGTGAATTAGAGTGTTAGTGATCCCTTTTTGGGACAGTTGATTCATATGAGATATGACAGATTATGCACTCTGATTAAAGCAAGACTGTGCCTAGAGTACAGAAAACAACATTCCATTTTCAGTACTCAAAGCCAATACCAAACATCCAACTGATGAGTATGAGTTGAGGTTTGCTCAGTATGAGACATGCTGTGTCAGGAAGCAGTCATTTCTATCCGAAACATGAAGCATTAAAAAAAAGCAAAAAAACAAAAACAAAGCTGACATTATATGAAGTGGCCATAACTCCATTTCTGAAATACAGTATGTAATCGCTCAAAGGCAGCATTTTACGAATGGATGCACAGGTGGTAACATTATTACCAATGCTTTTACCTATACCTATATATAAATGAGACTGTTCCCTCCAGATGAATAGTCCCATTTTAAAAATATTAGATATGGTTATGTTTAGAAAAATGCCCAAAGGCATCTTTTGACAAAATATTCTTTTAGGGCCTTATCTTCATCAGTTTTGCGGGTCTTAAAAGGAGTGCAAACAAAAAAAATTTGTATGTGCAGAGCGTATCATCAGAGGTGCAAAGTGATATGCGTCTACAATTCAACAGACGTCTGCAAACCTTTAATTGCATGCTTGCCTTTATCAATATGCAGATCAAATTCTAAAGACCATACTATGCAAAATCATTGGTTGAGGATATGCAAAGTAAATATTTACCAAGTACAAGGCAATGTCCTACCTCGGTTTACACTCAATCTGCTCATTTTAATAGGGCAGAACCAAATCGGTTTGCACATTCCAGCATTTGAGCAGCGATCTTTGTAAATCACCCACAACCTGCCTACTTTTGCGCCTCTAATTTTGAAAACTTGTGAGCTTATTGCAATCTTTATATAAAATATTGTCGAGTAAGAAAATTACCTAAAAACATATGAAAGTTATTCATACTTCTGGAGAATTTTGAATAAAAAGATCAATAAATCTAACCCCATGTTTCTTTATAATAGAAGTTACTTTAACCTGAAATAGATGTGATCAAAGATCTGGGAAGGGAGATGCAGTTTACTATAGAAGCAAAATGGTTTTCCAACATTAAAGACATGAAGCTTATTACCAAAGAGTATTTCTCAAAAAGCCGTGGAAAACAATGCAAAAAAAGCTTATCAGAAATAAATAATTAACAGGAGAGCATAAATATTGTCATTTTAATAATGTAAACAATTTATTTTAACGTTGCTGCTCCTATAATTGTTACATCTGACAAATTCTTGTCTCATATTTTATCAGAAGCAAAGTTTGTAATGATCACAAGTAAATCAGATCTGCCAAGGGCTCAAAAATATTGATGCTAACTGTAGAGGAGAAAACATAAAATCAATATTTCAGGCTCAATTTGGTGATTAATTACCAGTATGGTTCAGTTTAACAGCTATTTTGGACTAAATAATATGTTCTGTAAAATAGGCAGTTTTCGTTTTTCTTTTTGTCTGTTCTTTAACATTTTATTATTCAATATTTGATAACTGTAAGTGCCAAAGAACAGGCATGAAATGATGTTTCCTTGGAAATAGTTCCCTTAAATTTCCATAGAAACATCTGACAGCAGAAAACATCTGTAATCCCTAACATCATGGTATGGTCTTATTTCACCCTCTTTATGCATAAAGATTCCTACTACATAAACAAACCTGCACACATATATACACTGACCTTGCCAGCAGGCACCCACAGTCAGCTGCGTATCAATCTTGGAGGAATGGATCGGCCAATCATCCGTCACCAGGTACGGCTCATAGGTCACACCATCTACGAAGAGTGTCACTGCAGGAAACTCCACATTGATCACATAGTAATGCCATTCCTTATCACAGATCTGAAAGGCAAGAAGACATATAACATTAAGCTGTTACTGTCTATATTAAATTATACGGTATGTATTATAAAGTACATTAAGACTGAACTTCATATGCATGAAATCTGGTATGTTTAATAAAGGTGAACTCTGTTTAGATAAGAAGTTTATTAGAGGATTGCTGCTTTGAACTTGACAATCCACTGCAGTGAAAACATCCTAGCTCCAGTAACTAAGATGCAACAAAGTCCTTCCCTCTTCTCCAGATCATTTGCTCCAGGTCGTTAGACAACTAATGAGGTTTACAACTAATGAGGTGTTCATTAAAGGCACAGGAAGAGTGAAGAGTGACGAATGCAGCTGTGCAGCAAAGCCTCTAACAACAGTTCTGAGCATCACTCCAACTTTTTTGGAAATACAATCAAGATCATCATTATTTCACACTTTCCCTCTTCACATTATCAATACACATACATAATAAAAAATTAAGTTCACAAAAAAAGAAACAATTAAAAGAACTTAACTGATAAATGGTGTTGGAATGCCTTAAGTGTTTTGGCCCATGTTGACATAGATACCTCACACAGTTGATTCTGATTGGTCAGCTACTGTAGTACCTGAATGAGCCAAAGGCTTTATTCTGACATTTCCCAAAAAGGCTCTACACTCTCATAGGAACACTGTGAACTTCCTGTCACATTAAGGAAACTATCTTGAGATCTATCCATCTTTGTGGGATGCTGCATTCCAAAAAAAGTTTTTAAAAAAGTTAAAAAAACAATCCTCTGGACTTAGTTTACAAGTTTGAAGATGTTTCTCTTCCCATCCAGGAAGCTTTTTCAATTCAAAATGTCAGTATTAGCATTGATTTCGAGTCTTTATAGAGTGGACATAAATAAAGCCTTGTTTTGGCTTAAAAAACATGCAAATTGAACCGGAAGAACGGGTCCGCCCCTTAGGAATGGGCAGTCGTTTGGGTACTTTGTTAGTCTGCAATACCAAATACTGGTCTATGCCTCTGAAAGGGGGTCGTTAGGGGGAATTGTTGGCCTGGCTGATTAGGCGAGATTTTCGGGTCCCCTGTAAGGGAGTGGGGGTTGCAATGATTTCGGGAAGGAATTAACTCTGTCGCTGCATTGCAGCTTTTTGAGAACTGAAACCTGAGTCTACCCCCTCTGTTTAAGAAGGTTTTTTCTTTCTTAACATAAATGGCTTCCTTCACACCCTTTTCAAACCACCTATCTTCTTTGTTCAAAATGTGAACATTCTGATCCTCAAAAGAATTTCCTTTTGCCTTAAGGTGTAGGTGGACAGCAGAGTCTTGTCCAGAGGAGGTAGCTCTTCTGTGTTGCTGCATTATTTTGGTCGATGCAGCCAAAGGAGATTGGTCATGGTCAACATGACCATTAGGTGACACTAAGAAGTCTCATGTATGTAGGAAAACATCTCCTAATCCAATATATCAAAACTGGGCTGAACCAATGATAGAACTCAGGATCTGAATGTCGCAACTGAAATCGAAAGTTTTCTGACAAAGGTTGTTTAAGTTGTCTATTATCAGAGAGGAATTGCAGCCAGGTTTGTCCTAATGCTGAAATCCTCTGCTCTTAGGCTGAATTCACAGTTTTTTAGAGCTAATATACAGTATACCTTTGTTATTTGTGCTGTGATTGTATCTGCTTTGTTATGGGTGAGTCTGCTTTTTTACTCTACTTTAACTCATTGACAGGATATTTTCTTCCACACGCTTAAATGGATATTTTCTCTTTTGCAGCAGTTCCTCTGTAAATCAGAGATGGTTGTGCATAAAATTATCAGAAGCAGATTAGTATTTAAAATAGTTTGAGTGTCTTTTATGATGCACATTTTTGGAAGTTTTTTTTTTTGCTGTATCAGTGCCTCCCATGTTACTGACATATATGACATGTTTGCACCAACTAAAAAGGTGTACCTATCAGAGTGAGCTGTGAGTGTAGATTTTATGCAACTTCACAAGCTGATTACGTTTTAAAACTTTCTCCTTTCACTTCACTGAGCACTACACAAGGTTTAGAAAGCTTTCCGGATTTGAATAAAAAGATTTTATTAAATTCATAATTTAATGCCAATTCCAAACAGTAAAGATTTTTGTAAGTAGGTTATGAGGTACTTAAATAAGGTATTTAAAGCAACGTAGCAACATGTTTAGCACCAGCAACCCCCCAAAAAAGAGAAAGTTTTAAGACTTGAATTTCATTATTTGTAAGCATAAAGTCTTAAATTGGAGCAGACATACAGTACATTTTCTCTCTAATATTTTGATCCTCAAATATCTGATCAATCCTTGGTTTATTTGGTGTCTTTCGTATTTATATTCAAACTAGAAAGCAAAACATCAATATAAGGAATAATTCACCACATTCACCCACATTTCATGACATAAACAGGTGTGTGCTAGAGATGGTCATATTGGAGAAAAATGTGGCTTAAAAGTGGTCAAGTCATCAAAGGTTTTAACATCTCTGACAGTACTAATCATATGGTTTTTGTAATTTATATTCCAGGAAACTGAAATATAAATTACAAAGTTACAAGCAAATAACAAAACAGAAAGTTAAGCATTGAAACTTTACGCCCTCTGCAGATCGGCACCTGCTTTTTTCCCCCAGTCTCATATACGTAGGTTGTTTTCTGTTTGTCTCTTCAAATTTTATTCCCCTTTTGTTTTGTGAGGCACGTCTTGACATGCCTGAGTGGAGGCCCCAGGGATCTTGGTGAAAAGCTATGTCACGACCCTTTTTGATGCCTGATGCTGTTGCTCTCATCGGAAAGGTAATGATTTTTACTGCAATGCAGCCTAGCCCAATTACTGTACATGCAGGTAAATAATAATCTGTTCCAGCTGTGCAATTTGAATATGATTTTGTTTTTTAGAGAAGCGATGCAGGCGTCTGATATATTTAAATCCTAATTAACTGGAATTCCAACATGGCTGTCAAAAGTCAAAATTGGTGATCACAGAATATAAATTATGAATACCATTGTCTAAATGCTTCATGTTCAATTCATACTTAACATATTCAAATCATATAACTGGTTCTGGGACAGTGAAACCTGCATATTTTATAGAAGCACACAGTATTAAACTATAGTTTTTTTATGATGGGTATCCCCCCTTCTGCCAGTATTTTAGAAGTCTTTAAAGACCAAGAGGAAAAATATAACTGCTAGTGCCTTAGCACTAGCACTTAGAGAACTGCTAGACATCACCTCATGGGGTATTCTATAAAATATAAGAACAACATGGAGGATTAGGTTTGTTTTTATGAATAAATGATACTGCAGAGAGTAGAATAGATGGGGATTACATGTAGGCTTCCTCCAGTTAACCAATTCATTTAGAGATTAGAAAGATCTATTAGAAATGACATTAGTTGATTCCAAAAGGGTTATAAACGGATATACTAATATTTCACTTAGAATAGATTTTAAATAGATCTGGATGAAAAAGAAACAGATGTGCACAGACACATTCTCTTAGTTTCCGCTCTATACGTTAGTTTATTTTAAGAAGTGACTGTGACTCACATTGCATAGAGCAGGCACTGTGTTTGTTCACCGTTATGAAAGCAGACAGATCCTCTTTATATTTCAAATCTCTTAAACTTTGAGATGGAACAATTCAAAATCATAAGGTTTGTTTGCTATATATTATCCTATACTCTAGATAGGAGACAACATAGCTTTTCTTCGCAGCTTTACCGGAGGACAGGTTCAACTTTAACATCTCTAAGACCCCTGTTTCAGTTTTGCATGGCAACAACAAACCACAATGAATTGATCAGCAGCAATGAAAACTTTAGCTAAAGCAAGAAACTAGGTTCTTGGTTAATGAATAAATACACAGAATCTGGTGGAAACAAGAGGGATACATTTTTGGCCTCTATTTTATATGGCCTCTATTATCCTGTACTCTATAGTTTTTAAACCATTTAGCAAAAATCAGAGGCTAGGTTATGCTTTAATCTAGGAAAGTTTTTATTCTTTTGATTAGGCTGTACAGTACAAGAGTAGCAACTCTGATCTAAAGTCAGAGGGAGGTTTCTAGTCTCTGATGTGAAAAACAAACCACTTTAATATTGCTGTTTTATCATTAGGTCTAATTTCACATTATCTTTTTTGACTTCAAATTTACCAAATCAACATATTTTTTTATCCCTTTTTCAGCATACAAAAAAACTGTATGTATTATAGAGTTTTGGATAAAGCCCATTACACTCATATACATGGACTGTGTTTGAATAGAGCTTCTAAAGATTAACACCTCTTGCCGTTTCATTTGTGAATGATTGAAAAAAAAAATTTTTTGTCTCTTTGATTACATAGTTAACACCTTTAATTATTGTACAAGATTAATACTTTCCACTGGTCACCATTTAAAGGAAAAAACAGGTTTTGGAGTTACTTGTTTCCCCCCCCTCATTCAGAGTGTAAGAATATCAAATATTATTAGGAAATAATGTAAATCTACATTTCAAAACTTATTGCAAAGTCCAAACACTCAACATGCACCAAGTTACAAAATACTAAGGTGAGTATATCATGTAAAGGAGAGACAAAGTCAACATTTTAAAGTCAGAGAACAGGAAGATATTTTATTTGACGATGCAAAAACAGAAGTTTCCTTGAAATAAAAAAGTGCTAGCTCAAAGGCAGCATAATGTCGGAGTCATCTTGAGATGGTATTTCAGTTTTATTATTTTTTCTTTTCCATTTATGTCTTTATGATTGCCAGACATGTAAAATGAGCTCTCCTCTACCACAATTGCCTCTATAGTATCCACTAGTCATTTCATGAAATTGATCCGGGAGGGATTCTCTGGGCATGCTTGTGGGTTTGATACCCTGCACTATATATTTGGCTACTTTGTTGAAACTCCGCCACAGCGAATACATAGTGGGCAATGGTTTTTGAAGATAGATCTCAAACGAACAGCCACAAGTGCACCTCAAACCCTATTGCAGACTTCACATGAATGAAA